CTCCCCTCCGAAAACCTGAAAAACTGATATACAGCATGCGAGTAATCAGTGTGAGACAACTGGGCCCGCGATAAGCTGTGTACCTTTCGGCTGAAGACACCTCTCCCCAAACGAGCGATTGTCGTCTGGGGCCTTTGGTTATTAGTCTTATCAGTCGATAGGCGATCGAGCTGAGAAAAACGAAAAAAAAGTGGAGTAGCATATCCGGTTCGATAGGCACTCACATAACAGTCCATTAGACTTGTCAACAATGTTCTATCTTGTACAGTTTGGACAATCTGTCTTTCACCATCAGGGACTGTGTCACATAAGCGCTCTAATACATCATGAAAATGAGATAATGGTGGGTAATAGGTGTCAAGAGCTAATGAAACAATGAAAAGGGTTCCAGGAATCTTTAAATAAAACTGGTAGCAGGTCTCTGAAACAGTCCCTAGCTAACTTGAAAATTCGGTAACAGTAAAGTTGTTCAAATATACTTTGAAAATTAAATGTCAAGAGTTCACTGCGCATGTTGAAAAACCATTTTATTCAAAAGGTATACCTAACATGTTAATTGTTAATGAGCACCTACAGAAAGAGATGTGTGACTCATAGAGGTTTGAAATTAAATACGTGAAACCTAGCTTGCAGATAATGGCTAAAAACACGTCTAATGGCACGTTAAGTCCCTCGAAAATCAGATACCCAATTTGTTCTGACATTTGACAATATTTTTCCCCATTTTTAATTCGTAAAGTGATACAATGGGACTCTAAATACTTCAATCCATTCAAAGTCACATTCCGATAGTGTCACGTAAGCGCATCTCATACATCATGAAAATGCGATAATAATATGGGTAATAGGTCTCAAGAGCTAATTGAACAATGAAAAGGGTTCGAGGAATCGTTAAACACAATTGGTAGCAGATATCTGAAACAGTCTCCAGCTGATTTGAAAATTCAATAGCACTAAAGTTGCTTATACTTTAAAAATTAAACGTTTCGATTTTGTTTTCTTCATTTTCTCAATGAATATATTAGAGTCATGGGATTCAAAAGTAGCTATATCCACGTCGTGAATCCTGGGTTACGCTAGGAGCTGGTGAGGTTAGATTAAGACTTCACTGCACATACTGAAAAACAAATTAATTTCAAAAGGTATACCTCAATTATTAATTAACGAATTAATTTGGCCTTTAGAGGGACGGCAGTGGTGGATTAAAAAAATCGCTGTACATCTATCTCAGCACCTCTATAAACAGATAAGTGACTCATAAAGGTTTGAAATTAAAAATATGAAACCTACACTGATAGAATGATTCATTTATTCCAAATGAGATTCTTTAGCTACTAATGAATGGTAGAGTTGAATATGACCAAACAAATATTCGTTGATAGTTAACGAATGGTTCACTTGAACGGTGGGAGTCGAGTCAAACAAGACTTCTCAAGTATGCATTCGTTAACTATTAACGAATGAACATTTGATGAGACCAAATAAACCGTATCCTTCAACCAAATCCATTTGTTAACAATAACTAATCCTGTCTATCAGTGTAGTTTGCCGAGAATGGCTAAAAGCACGTCTAATGACACATTGGCACACAATGGGACCCTAAACACTTCAATCCATTCAAAATCACACTTCGATAGTCCTACCTTGCATGGCTCGGACAATGGGTTTCTCACCATCAAGGACTGTGTCACGTAAGCACACCTTATACATAATGAAATGCGATAATAGTGGGTAATAGGTGTCAAGAATTAATAAAATAATGAAAAGGGCCCGAGGAATCATCAAACACAACTGGTAACAGGTGTCTAAAACAGTCCAGTTGTATCAAAAATTCTAATGATGATGTGTTCAAAATTTGGACAGATGTGGAAGCATGTTTGCTTTTTTAAATACCCCCGCATCATCCAGTCGAATTTGTCTTTGTTTTATTACTAAAGACAAGTGTCAAAAATAGAGAATAATGACTCAGCAAATACGGATCTATAGCAATGAAAATTGGGTTGAAGCAACAGTTATATGAAATAGCAAACAATCTTATGCAATGGTACAAGGTTTATCCGCTAATTGTAGTGAATTCGTGTCATAAAAAGAATCGATAATCGATCCCACGAGTTGATATCAGATCGGTTATTGTTATTGCCCCTCGGCATCGAGTGTGGGTGATGCCAATTACGACGGCATTAAAACGCGAAACGATTTATAACTCTTGAGATCGATATCAGTGGTAACGCGTTTTGTTATCATTTGAGGATGACGATTTCTGCGGTTGTAAGGAATTCTCGGTAAAAAGTATCGAACTTTCTCAATTATGACGCGACATTTCATAGAAGGTCAGAGCAAATGGAGTGTATCCGGTGCGTGAAAATGGTCATATCTCATTCACCACTAGATAATTGACCTCAAGCAAATGTTAGAGGTCGCATTTTCTCAAAAGTTTCTTTCCAATTTTGAAGTCATAATTTCTCATTCGGCAAGCACTACTTTCCCTACATCATCACCAATTCGGCATGTGCATCCCTTTTTAAGAAAATGATCGCCAGTCCTTTCTATTTGCTACTAAAACCTTTGATTCCTAAAGACTGATCATCAATTTGCCCCAGAATTTTCCATCTCCATCAACACTTGTCACGCGCACCTATCAAATGACTTACTATCCCCAACAAATCTTTCTGAAAAAAATCAGCGCCGTCCTTTCCATTTGCCCCCCCCCCCCC